ACAGTATCATTATTACACTAGTGATAACTGTTCAGTGTAGAGAAACTGAAATCACAGGTAAACAAAAAAGGAGAAAATCACCCATAATATCCCCACTTAGAGTTAACTACGGTCAGTCTTTTGATGTATAGCCTATATTTCTATGCATATAAAATTTTAATAGCATATTACTTACACCCCGTCAACTTTCCTAAAGCAGAGTTTTGATTATCCCTTGCTCCTACAGGCTGATAGATATTAACAAATAAAGGCATGGCATTCTGCAACATAGAGCCCATTTTACCTCACTTCCATTACCAGTACAAACCACTGATTGAATAAAATTATTATCCAAGCTTTTTCTTGAAAACAAATTGGAGTTGCTTCTCCCACTCTTTTGCTCATTCATTTCAGCTGATTGGCCTTCTCACCAGCTCAGCCTTTAGACTATCTTTCAAGGCTTCACTACATGGTCTTTTTCATGATGTCCCAGTCAGACATGATGTCTGGCGTTTACTCTGGGTTTTCCTCGCCCTTTCTTTGCACCACCCCAGGCTGCGTTGTCCTACAGTTATTTGCATGACTCTCCTCTAGTAAAATGCAAATTCTCTGCATTTTTGGAAATTTCACATCTTGTGCAGAAACACTTAATACATATTCAATGAAAGCAGTGACGAAAAACCAAATAGTCTAACTTGATGACGAGATATACGAGGGCTATGAAGTGGACGTTGCGCTTACAGCATGAGATTTCTTACAGGGAATTTGGACAAGTGCTGGATATCATTCAGTTCACAGTGAATATCTCCTCTCTATTGCTAATGAAAAGCAGTGCCTCATTTCTGGGTTCTAGATTTGGAGAGACAGAAAAGAAATACATGTATGCCAATCTTAAAACTATCACAAAGCTGCTATATCAGTTTGAGAATAAAGGTTGCCAGTACATTCAAAAGTTTTTATCCATGAAAATACTTAACATACCCAAGATAGTTCCAGATAGCTAAATCTCATCTATTGCTTTATTTTCTCTTTCAGAGCTTTTTATTTTTTAAATTTTTTTTGAGAAAGATTAGCCCTGAGCTAACGTCTGTTGCCAATTCTCCTCTTTTTGCTGAGCTAACATTCATGCCCGTCTTCCTCCACTTTATATGTGGGACGCCTACCACAGCATGGCTTGCCAAGCGGTGTCATGTCCGCACCCGGGATCTGAACTGGCGAACCCCAGGCCGCCAAAGTGGAACAGGCACACTTAACCACTGCGCCACCAGGCTGGCCCCTCTTTCAGAGCTTTTAAATCAAATTCGTTTATTTTTTATTAAAATTTTAGTAATCTTTTTATTCTCCTGGGAACATAAGTAATTTCTGTCTCCTTTGAGATGGTGTCATTTTTCCTTCTGCAGAAAACCCCAGTCAAATGTATCATTTCCCTGTTGATATCATTCTTGCTCTATTTCTTGTTTGAATTTTGTTGCTTTCTGGACATAAATGAACTTCACTGTTACATTAACAACCTATGTTTGTCTGCAATACTAATAAATAGCTGCAAAATATTCTATATGCCATATCGTAATAAGTGTCCTAATGCCACTAGTAATTCATGTGTCTAAGCCCTGCCACTTGACCAAATTAAATGATAGTTTGTTTTTCCTTTATTATAATACATACTTCATGGTTTAAGACACCTGAATACCTTTGGCCAATCTTATCCTTCAACCTACAGCTGTTGTGTTTTCTTATGGGTTTCAAAGACAAGGGAAAAATATGCATTTTTCTTAATACTTTCAATCTCAGTCTTTCCCTCTTGTTCTCTCCTCCCCCATGCTCTTTCTGTCTTAAATTGCTGTAGTTTATTTAAAGAATGTAAGTCTCCTCTCCGTTAACTTCAAATACTTTTTAAGTGTCAGTGATCATGTAATATTTGGGGAGAGCACAGGCCTCCAGTTGACCTGGGAATGGAGTGAGGCGGGGAGTGGTGGGACATGACTAGACAGGAACTTTAGATTTAAATTATGAAGGGCCCTGGCATGCCATGCCGGTGACATTGGATTTTGTTCTGCAAGTGAAGCAGAGGGCATTTGTATCACTCTAGCAGGGCAGAGATGACTCTTGTAGGAAGGATCATGGAGATAAGTGTGGAGACAGAGAGATCAATTATAATGTTGTTACAATATCTAGGTCAGTGTTTCTCACTGCAGAAGGAAATGTGTTTGACATTGTGACTTGGCCAAAAACAATGCTCACTTTGTGTGGTGCAGTCAATATTCTGTGTCCTATTCTGTTCTAATTTCATTGAAAAATGCTAACCTGGACAACCTAAATTAATTTCAAAACCCACTAATTGTACACAGCCTGCAACTTGAAAATCACTCCTTTAGATAAATGATCATGAAGGCCTAACTGAAGGTAACGGCATTGGATGGAGACAAGATGCAACTGGAAACAATTAGGAAAATAGAAGCAAGATAACTTGATGATTTATTGATTTCAGCACTAAGGGTTAAGAATGACTGAATTTCTTATTAGAAGAGTGGGCAGATGATGGTAATTCAAAATGAGATATTGATAGAGTAAAAAGGAGCAGTCAGGGTAAAAAATTAAGCTCAGTTTTGAATATATTATATTTGTGGTTTTTGTGGGAAAATTATGGTTAGGGAAAGATGTAAGGATTGGAGGTTGAGTTTAAGAATCAGCGTGTGGGTGATAGTTAAAACAGTGGGGGAGATTGAAATAATTGAGAGTTTGCAATCATAAGAAGAGAGAACAGTGAGGAGTGAATTGTGGATAAAACCAGCATTGAAATGGGAGGCCAGGATGCAATGAAAGAGGCTGAGGATTCATAATCAAAGGACTAACTAGGGAGTGAAGAGATAATGTAGCTTCTGCTGTATCACATGCTGCAGACATAGTGGATAAAATCTCCTGAATTCATCACCTAGGAGGCCATGGGCAACTGTTGTCAGTACTTGTCAGTAGAGTATAGGGTTGGAAGAATGACTGCAGTGGGTTGAGGAAAAAATGAAAAGTTATAAAGTATTATAGAGAAATCTTAAAGATTAATATTCTTTTAAAGTGAAAAGAATAGAGTTGATAGTATGTAGGCTGGCTATCAGTTAAGCTGAGCATATCTTATTCAATGTTATGTCCAAAGTATAGATGACATAGTAGGTGTGTTGACTATAGCAAAATTGCCATAGAAATAGAACAAACATAAATGCATATTAGGAAATTTAGAGTAGAGATACGTATGGACTGGTGTCTGAAATTGGGAAGCCCTAAAGAACCAGAACAGTTCTAAGACCTGCCACTCTTCCCACTTCTCTGCAAGCACTATGGTTTTCTTTGTGTCTGCTCCATTCTCTTTTTGTTAGTCTCTTTTGTTTTTTGTAATCTAAATCCTAGAGGAGCTAGCCCAATTGACTTGGTAAAACACTTTTATCTCCCTTGGGCTGAGCCTTCAAGCCGGGTTGCCTGCCCAGCCTTGGCTCAGAATTATGGATAGCTTAGGGTTTACCTTTGGTCCAATGGGTAGCCAAGATTTATGCAAAAACTAGGCTAACATATTTTACCTGCCCAACAAAATATATCTTTACACAATTTGTCACGAAACACCTGATTAGATCTAGACAGTGCTAGAGCATTTCACTTTATACATTCTCTAGTTCTTAACAGAGCACTTACTGTTTGATCTCTTAAGAAAATATTTATAACTGGTATAAGTACCACATAGCCCCTTCTTTTTCTTACAGTAATGTTTCACCATTGGGTGTCATATATACATATGTGTGTGTATATTTGTGTGTGTGTGTGTGTATATATATATATGTGCATACACAAATACAAATACATTTGTGTGTATATATATATGTATACACAATACACATTTGTGTGTGTGTATATTTATGTATACACACTTGTATGGTAAGAATTAACCAAGTATACAGGCAACCTTGAGTCATTTCTTAGGAGTTTAAGCTTGATACAGATGCAGTTATCACTAGGTATTTGAGCAGTCGATTATGTAAGGACCCAAATTCTCATTGCTCTATGTCATCTGTTTCATTTTCCTCTACTGTGCTATTTCAGGAGAATTTAAGTACGACCAGGAAGAGACAGTGACACACATTAATCTTTGAGACACTGTGCTTACACCCCTGGTTATCTATTTTGAAGTAATTACCACTTCTCTAAAGCTTCTGTCTTGATTCATTTTGGGGAATTAAAATTAATTCATCACCTATTCTACTTTGAATATTATCATGGAAGTTTAAAAATTCATTCTTGGGAAATTCTTATTGCCCGAGGAAGTTTATTTGAGGAAATGAATTATCATCCAAAATGTAATTATTTCTTTCTAAAGGACTTAGTTATTGCTGTTCTTTAATGTTATATTTTCACTTCTGTTGCTTAGCTCAACTTAGCCGACTTGCATTCTTATGTGAAGTATCAGCGTAAATAAGAACATGTTGTAGTCAGACCAAATAGAGCAACCAACGATAAGAAAAAAAATGCAGCACCGATTCCAACAGAATAATAATGAGAAGGCAGGCATGGCAAAGGAGCAGTGGCAGAAAGTGAAGTAATTTCGAAGAATGTCACTGATCAGATTGAAGTAGGAGTGGAGTTAAGAAGTATAGAACCTAAGGAATATAAAGTTGAAGTTGGTATGTTCTTTCAGGGTAGGCTTCATATAACAACTGCTGTGGGAAATGTTTGCAAGGCCGAAGACAGTGGGGTGCTTCCTGCAACTCAGCCAGTGCTTTATGTGGGGCTAGAAAAAGTTAAAATTAAAAAGGAAGGAAGGGGCCAATTAGGGCATGACATAAAATAATCATGTGTTTGGTAATGCAAGCAATTCTATGTTTAGTGATGTGAACATATTATTAAATACAACTAAGAAATGACTGTTTTTTGCTCTTGATTCCCTTGTGCTGTATTTTAGGCATCAAATAGCATTTCTAAGCAGTTTTAAGTGGTTTTTGCATATTTTTGAATGTTTTATGTTTCTGTGTTTTGTGTTGTAGCTATGAAGATGGCCAAGTGGGAGATGCAAATATTAACACACAAGAAGGAGGCATTCACAAAGAGATCCTTCGAGTAATTGGTAATCAAACTGCTACTGGTTAAAGGACCACCGTTTAATTAACATGATTTGAAAGCCTTCCTCGCGTTCAAAGCTGGATTTTGAACTGAAGAAGATGATAAAATAATTTATTGTTATTATAAACAAAATTAACCCTTTGAATACTGATTTTTTTCTTAGTATTTCTAAGTATCTCATTAAATACCTAAAATGGTATAAAATTTATCAATTGTAGGGTTATGGAATCTAGTAATAAAATTACAACAGCACTTAAACTGAAGTTTGGGTTGCTCACACAATAAACAGATTGAAAAAACAGTTTTGTGCTGATATTTTTATATTAAACTCTTTAATTGGAAATTTGGTATTATATACCGACATTTTAGGATACCAAAATAGAATTGAGAACATTTTATAATGGCATCTAAATCTGTAAGATACTTTGCAATAAGTATAATGTTTGCACTTTCTGATGTGCTATATAATTAGTGGTATGAACATTTGAATATTTTGGGGAGGGATGTTTCCTATTCTGTTATTTTTCCTTATACAAAAACAGTTAGGTCTTAGATGCAGTGCTTTGCCCAAAAGTATGTAATACACATATCTAAAGATTCAAGCATCAAAATATGTGATGGTGCATATATGTGTGTACATACACATATACGTATGTTGACAGCAGAGATGGCACAGCTCCACAATGCTATTCTTATTCAATGAAAAGAAAGTAATATTCAGTAAGCAGTAAATCTGGACATAAACCAAGATATGAGCCAAATTTACCATAATTCACTCACTGAAAATATTTGTGGACAGTTTTCCTATTTGTTTAAAGAATTTTTCCCTTCAGTTAAAATTCAACTCTTTTTATAATGTTATCTAAAAGTCATAAAATTTGGGGAACATAGATACCCCTGGTGGACTAAATCTATATTCAAGTAATCATATGTTGAAAAGAAAGGCCTCAGAATTTAAACAAACCGTATATATTTTTTATTTCCTACAATGGAACATTTTTAAAATTTATTTATACCACACCAGCATTTTTATATTTTTTCATCTAATACCTCTGCTTATTTTTTTTCGTATTGAGAAAGAAGACAAACTTTGAAGTTTCTTTTATATTAAAAGAACACAAATAAGTTTATAGAGAACAAGAACACCAGCTCTCAGCATTCTCCTTCCAAAAGTCATGTGCTCATCAAAATCATTTCTGTTTCTTTGGGTCCTAAAGTTCTTATTCATCACAAGTTTTAATTGACAGTGTTTATTTTCCTACGTGATGTCTTCGAAAGAAGGCCATTCATGAGAGCAGTTTAATTAGTGAGTTTGCCACTCTATTCAAACCCTGAATCAAGGCTCATATCTGATTCTAATTTATTTGGAAAGAAAAATATAAAAGTGTATAGTGATTTGCAAATATAATGTTATAACTTCTGTGTTTATTTCCTTTGGCATAAAAGGTGAGAAAAAGAGGTCAGACACATTGTTAAGAGTTGCTATTTGGGAAATATTTACTAATAGTTTGTTTTCTTATGTGGTAAGTAATTGATATGCCACGTATTTCTGCAAAAATAGACTTGAAGTGGTTGGAATATTAATCATTGTGATAGGATCCGCTTAAAACATTGATCTGTTTTGACTTGTGCCTCTGAACTCAAAGGCAGACTGAGGGATAATGTTGACACGATAGGGCCAAGATGTAGTATCTTATTTAGTGTTCTGTGACCAGATATTTGAAGACTTTACGTGGGCAAGAGGACTACTTTCTTCTTTCTGCCAAGTCTCCCAGATTCCTTTGACTGTGTTTTAAAAACATGTTTAACCAACAGAATTAAATTTGGGGAACATTCTATATATGACATAGATATGAAGATGTAATAGCATGATTTGGAAATTGAGGGCTTGGAACCCCAGCTGTTTGGCTATTAGGACCACTGAGGCACCTCTGAAGACTCTCTGTAGTGCCTCCAAGCGTAATTTAAAACCACTGACCTAATCCACTACGACTTGACTTAACAGTTGAATGATGTAAAGAGTATAGTATTAGAATCTGAACTGGAAGGGTAACGTGGAGGACTCAAGGAAGTTGATCTAGCAGAGCAAGGAAAGTAGTGGATAGTTTTAATGTCTACTATATATTACAAGCAGTAGGCATCTTTTATGATAAAATAAGATGTCTTCTAATGATAACTACTCGAATGCTATTGCAATACAGAATGACATTTTAAGTTTGTTTCAAAAAATTGTGTCAGAGCCTTTGTAAGCAAATATTTTCATTGAGCTTTTGATATTGGAAAATGATAGTATGCTGATGCTTATCTTTATTTCTAAAGAATCTAATTTCAATAGACACTACTATTAAATGAATATCATGCTTCCAGAATCCAAGAAGGTCCTTAAAATTTAGAAGTTTAAACATCATTATCATGCCTTGATTCAGTCACCCCATTAAGGTATTATCTATTGACTTATTTGATGCTTCCAAACATGTGATATTGTATGTATTTATATAATCGTTTGAAGTATGTTCACTGATGCTTTGTAATAGTTATATTAATTGTGTAGCCATTACTACTTAATATTAATCCATGGAGCAAAGGCAATCATTTATTTTCATTCTTGAAGTAGAGGAAGAAAAACCCAATTTGTTAGTCCTACTTTTTCCTGCATTACTGTCTTTGTAAAATTTCACTATGAATAATTTGTCCTCTTTTGTTGTCCACTGTATTAAAAAAGGGAAGAAAATGGTTGAACAGAGAAAAAAGTAATAATATACATAGAACATAGTGCTATAGCATACTTTATGGTAAGATACTTTGGGTGTCTTAGATTGCGTTATGTGGAAGTGATTTTTATTTTTGTTGCTCAGCGGATCTCAGTGAAGTGTTGGATTTGAAGGTGGTTTTTAAATTTAAAATTTAAATATAAGAGTGTCACATCCTTAAACTTGCTATCAAATATTATGTGATATGAGAAACCAACCCAAACCATTGTTAGTGCTCTGAATATTTCTCATTGAAAAATTTAAGAGTTTAGAAAAGAAATCCCTCAATTATTCTCCCCTTTGCTAAAAGAAAAGAAACCTTTAATGTGCAAGTCTATAAATCTTTAATATCACTGAATGGGTTTTAGCAGTACTTGGTACCATAATACCATAACTTGCCTTGGGGCGTGGAGTTTCAGAAAATTTTAAGGAAAAACTCATCATCCTTGTTAAAGTCTCGATGACTCCATCAGATAGTAATTTAACATGTCATGAAGGGCCAACTCAGCCTTGGACCATCTACCATCCAAATATATAGATTTCATGGTGACACTTGAAGCACACTTTAAAAATATTATGATGTTCTTCTATTGTCCTGCTGAATTCTTCATTATAACACTACCTCAAGACAAATGATAGGCTGTATGTTAAGGTAAATTGGGTTTCCAGTATAAGAAACAAATAAAATCTCACACATAGAAGTCATCAGATAATTCAACAGTCTGGATGTAGATATTGTCAGTTACCTCTTGACAATGCGTTAATACAGATGGTTCAATCACTGGTGTTGAATGACATAGTTAACACCCAATGAGTTAGGTGAAAGGGTTTCAAGTTGCAAAATTTGAAAATAATTAGTTCCTTTTAAGATTGGTTTTCTACATGGGTCAATTTTATGTCGTTTCACCTAAAGACACAAACAGTTGCCCACTCTAAACAGTTAAAGGATTAAAATACCCAACTGCTATGCCAGAATGGCAGACTGAATATTCGAGTATTTTGGTATTGAATGCCTGCTAAATTTTTGCCAGATTCTATATAAATTTGATGTATATTATTACTCAGTAAATTTTTCTTGGGGATTTTCTATACGCTATGATATATTAGGATAAGTTTTTGTAGGTCAAAAGAATTTCAAGTAGTTTTTAGACAAAACATATCCATGAGTGTGAAAAAGCTGTGTTGAAGAATAGATTACATTACACATTTACCAGCTAGTCAGTAAAAAATAGTGCTTATTTACATAGTCAACATAATTTAATGTTCTAAAAATAATTTCTTCAACCCACCCAATATTTAATGTATCATTTGAGATTTTAAAAAACGCAGCCACTCCTTTATGTAAACATTAAGATATGCCTATGTTTCTTTAACTATACAGCCTTCTTTACAATAAATTCCTTGACTTTTGTGCACAAAATAGTATTGCAACCTGCTATTTAGCCTTTGGTGCCTTAGAGTTACTATAAATATCTAACAATATGTACATTATGTAAATACTGCCAAGAGATCACTAAGGCCAAATATTTTCTCTATTCACTTTTTATTGCACTTGCTTTCTATTGCTACTTAAGCCTCTTTTATCCAGCTTTGTAATAGTTCTAACATTGTAGCCAATGTAAATGTTTACTTTCAATAAATCTGAATTTGTTCAACAAGTATGGTATATGTGGGCACTATTTTGAAAACTCGGTTAGGCCTTAGGTTCTCCTCATGATGAATCTTGCTTCTGGGGACTAAGTATTTGAAGTTCTCAACAAACTCTAAAAATGATGTTGCCCTTTTCACTTATAAAATACTTTTAAAATAAGAGGGAATAAAAAAACTCTTTTCTTACCGGTAGTCCCCAAATAGTTGTGATAGATTTTAATTGGTCGAGAGCACCATTTTGATTTTAAATTCTGTCAAGAAATATAGGATTGAAACAAAAGATTTTATACATTTTATATGTGTGCTCTATTTATAAACACCTAGGCATAATATCCAAAGGAGCATTTCAAATGAGCTATCCTGAATTTTCTAAGCATGTTTTACTTGATTAGTATTTGGAAAATGATTTTTAAAGTACCGCTTTTTATAAAATACATCTAATGAGTTAATGAACTGAATAAGACATTAGTCCATAAGTAAATATGGTTCTCTAAACACATTAATAGTAAATATTTATGAGAAGCTAAGTTTATATTCTCATAATAAATAAAATAATTTTTTACTCATGTTACATTTACAACTGAGAAACCTTAGATAGCAAACTTCTGTTTATTAGACTAGATTTCACTTACTCTAGAAATACTTGTTAAGAGTCTAGTATGCATCTTGACAGTCAATGTAAGGAATAGATTTTTGTATTGGCCTTAAGGGTTCTTCAGTCTGTTTGGGAAAAGAAATCAAACATGTTTGGAAATAATTCATGAATAGCACAAGGCCAACAATGCTGAACGGAAAAGACCAAAAATGCAAGCCATGCTTAGGGAAGGAACAGAACATTTGTATCCAGGCAATGAGGAAAATACCGTGGAGAATCCATGGCGTAAGCAGGATGCTTAATATCCAATAGACCTTCCCCGATGTGAGGACAACGTCTTTAAAGCAAAGATGGACGGAAAACTGGCACAGGGAGGATAATAGGCTTACAGATAGAAGGATCTTGAGTGAACCTACAAAAATTCCTGAAGACTTCTACATTCGTTGAAATAAAAACTGCAATCCAAGTGACATTTGAATCTTTAAATTAGTGCTAATAAATAGTGTATTACTAATTTCCATTTATTTATTCACTGGACACTTTTCATAATCTTTTTGCAGCAAAGTTACAATGATTTGCTTGTATATCTGCTTTTGCTTTGTTGCAGATAACACACATGTTAGAAAGCACTTAATCTTTTAAATGTTTTGTTTGATTCCTCAACTAAATTTTTGATGATACCTTTTTGACATCATGGCACAATCTTACTTCTGGAGCTGTCATTCCCTCTGACACTTATCTGCATTCCTCCTCATAGGAAGATAGCTGGTAAAAGTGTAGTTCCCATACCCACATCTAATTTACTTTTCCCAGCCTCCTACCCTCCCTTTTTAGTGACTGCTGAGTAATCTTATAAAAGCATCTATGTTTTTTAAAAGTTACACAGGCTGCTATTTTGGAAAGCCAATGCTGAGAAGCTCTGAGAATTTGTTGAGTAATTATTTGGCCTCTATTTCTGTTCCCAACTTCTGGGTCCCTCTTTTTAATAAATTACTTCAAATAGTAGTGACTTATAACTTGTATCTAAGAAGACTGAAATTTTCAAAAATGTCAATTATATACATAGTTTAAAAATCATGTATTCTTGAACTTCAGCTAAGAGAAATTTTTGACTAGATAGGATTTGCTTTATGTAGCACTTTATAATTTAGAAAGCAGTTTCAGGCAGATTGTCTCATTTTTCCCGTCAAAACAACTCTATGAAATGTTAGCAGAAATCCTTGTCTCTATAGATGAGAAGTTAAATAAGTTGTCAAAGGGGGTCATTAGGCTCCAAACCTAGGGTCAGGGTTTCTGAGTCCCATCTCTGTGCTCTTTCTAATAAACCATGTTTATTATTGCTGAAATCCTAGCTTGGCAGAACTGATAGCAAATGTAAGAAATACAGCAGACTAGTGGGAAGAGTCAGTGAAGAGTTAGGTCTGATTGCCTTGAAGAGCTCTATCAGGGAATCATTAAATACCATTGCCTGGGCTAGGTGTGATTTTGTTCTAGAGGGCCTGGAAGGAAAGAGGTCTGCACTTGATGTAATTGGCAATGGAAAAATCGTTGTCGGCCCTTGGGTGAGTGACATCGTGAAAGTGGAATTTTGGAAGCATGCTGGCCACTGTATTCAGAAGGATTTCCAAGGGAGGCAGAAAGCAAGAAACGTTAGAAATTGGTTTTAGTAAGTCTGCTAAGAATGAAGGCCTGGAGAGAAGGAACTGAGAAAAGGAATGGCGAGAAGAGACAAAGAGGATTTAGGAAAAAAGCAGTAAATTAGGAAATAAGAGACCCAATTTATATGTTAGGGATAACTCAATATAAATTGAGAATAATTTTCCCCTGGACTTTCTTTTGGAGATCAATTAAGATTCTCCTACTCCTTTTAGTATCTAAGAAAGAGAGGACTAACTGAAGACAGTGGCCTGGCCGTGCTTTCTCCACACCAAGAAGCCTAGAAGCACATATTCTGCCATGTGAGGGGAAAGTGTAGAGGAGGGATATTCTGGACCACAAGGGGACGTGTACAAACGCACCTCACCCTCCACCTGTAAAACCTGGCCTGTTAAGTACTGAAATCTATAAGAGAATGGTTACAGTAGTTTAGTTAAGTGTCATGCCTATTTTATGTGACTTATCATTTCCAAGATTCATCAAACTGTCAAATTGTGTGTGTGTGTGTACGATACACTGTAGCTTGGGGAACACGTAAAACACATCACCCAGGATGGTGGCATCTTCCTACGTATGCTCTCCCTGGAAGACATTGTCCACCGTGAATGGCTCCAACTTCCACCTGTACTCTGACAACTCCTAAATCTGTATCTTTTGTTCCTGTCTCTCCCCTGAACTTCAAATTCATATGACCAAATACTGCCAAACAAAGAGCTCTTCCTCACTGTTCCGAGAGTACCTCAAATAAACTCCACCAATGTCCCCACTCCCCCGCTGCTCTACTCTCCTCTTGCACTCGTCTCCATGGCCACACCATCCATCTGTTTACTCAAGCCAGGAGACAAGTCATCCCCCATTCCCCGCCTTTCTCTCAATCCCCACCAATCATTAATCAAGCCATTTTAATTGCTCTTTTTGTCTTGAGTATGCTCCATTTTCTCGATCTCCTGTGACTGCCTTTGTTAACTTTTATATGGATTATGTCAATATCCTCCAATAGTGTTCCTTGATTGAGTCGGTACCCTCTACCCAGAACAGATCTTCAGCTAGAACGTAGGAGTACAGCCTTGTGATTGTTAAGATACTGAACGCCTCTTTAAGTAAATAGACGCTGCCTCTAGTCTCACTTGCCCACATGCAGCAGCTAAAGGGTTAACTCAGCACACATAACACCCTCCTACACTTTGGTCCCTGCTAAATAGGCTTTACAGGTCTTAATATCACAACTGGCTTGACCCCCTTTCATAATGCTGAAGCTGACGTGATCTTTCTAAAATGCAAATCTGATTTTGTAAACCCCTTACTTAAAATCCTTCAGTGTCTCCCAATTTATCAATCAGTCAAATAAAAATTTCTAGCCTCTGTTCCCCTTTTTGCCCTCTCCATTCTCATTTTTCACCACCGCCACTGGGATCCTTACACTCAGCATTGGAAGCGCACTGAATTATTTGCAGTCCAGAGAACAGCTCATCGCTGCTCACTTCCTCTCATGTGCCTTTTCTCTCTGCCTATGACAGCCCCACTCCCCAGCTCCAATTTTTACTCCTCTTGGCCCTCATTCTGTTTTCACTTCTAAAACTTTTGTCTGCACTCCCAGTCTAGACCAGATGGTTCTAAATCTCAGAGTAGCTGATCATTGCTCACCTGGGAATTACTTACTTAGCCCACAGGGAAAAGGTTTCTTGATTTGCCTGCTTCTTTCCCCCATTGGCCCCCTCCATGCCATCAGGCATAGATTATTTCCAGGACCTAGTAAATGTTGGGCACACAGTAGGCATGCAAAAAAGTAAATTACAAATGTCTGATGAAGATGATCTTCAAATAAAGTGATATTAAAGCCAAAAATCTTTAGAATATATTTATAATTGACACATAATATATTCATGAATCTAAACTGTGGAGCAGGGGGAATATTACAAGCCAAAGCTATCATCATCATCGTCATCTTGGGCTCCAGCAACAGCTCCATCACCTGCAGGACATGTAGGGGTCCCTGAATATTGGTAACATTGACCATCTCTGTCACCCTTGAAGTACGTATTTTCATCTTCCTGTTGTTTATCTCAACTTTGAATCAAGCAATACCTGGAGTGGAAGGTCATTTTGCAAGCCCAGAATGAAACATAAAACTGGATACTTACCAATTTATAATTTAATGTCAGTAATTTGCATAACCAAAGGATCATTGCTTTGCTAAGTAATTACCTTAAATAATGAGCTTCCTTAGCATATTTAAGAGTTCATTTATAGGTCATTAACTACTTGACATACAAGGAAGAGAGATACTTTAAGCTAAAGTGCTAATATTCATTACCAATAAAAATAAATCAGTGATGGAATTAACTACATCTATAATTATAAGTCAATGGGGAAATAAGATTTCTTCCAAAGGAATTGCATTCTTCTAACATCGTATAAATTGTAACAAACCTGAATTTTTTTACACATAATACTCGTGACATCTAACTTAATTTTTGCAGCTGTGTAATTTGGAACCTTTCTATTCTTTATGTTTCTGGTTAACTTCTGGGATACATATTTCTTAATAGTTGTAGGCTTACAGCATAGTCAATTTTCTAGTTCTAATATGCACCAGCCGTGGAGCAATAGAGCTTTCTGCAATTTATTACTTGGAATCTTTTCCTTAAGTTTCTGCCCATTGCAAATCTATCCATAATTCAAGGCCAAGCTCACATACCCTCAAGTACGTGAATGCTCTGGATCACCCAGCCATAAACAATGTCTCCCTGCTCCAAAT